CATTAGATACAGGAAGATAAAATTTAATAATCTCATATAAATTATGTGTATTGCACTTAAATTTTTACACAACTCAGTTGTTAATATACCAAGATTTCTTAACACTATGAATAATTAGTGCAGCATTGGTTATTTTAATAAATATATATTAATTCCACTTTCAATAGTTTAATTCAATATAGGCAGTAATATTTTTCTCTATGAGCTAATATTTTTAAGGAAAAAAGTTTTGGTGTAAGAAGCTAATTATGATCATCTCCCTTGAGTAATATTTTTAAATTATAGAACATGATATTAATTAAAAAATAATTATATCTTAAATTTAATTAAATAATTAGTTCCACCCTTATTTTTGAGTGATATAGATCATTAAAATTTTTTTAGACATCTCTTAAAGAGATATTTCATTTTTTATATCACTATATTAATGTTAAATTGTTGAAAATATTAAGGAGAGGTGGAACATAAATTGATAGAATAATCCCACATCATAAAATCAAATAATATAACTAAAATAAGATGGAAACTTCCTAATCCCTCAACTAATTATATTTTTTTGGTAAATCAATAGCTAGTTCATAAAAAATTCTTAAGTAAAATGATATTTAAGATTTCATTAATAATAATCTCGATAATTAATTTGGACTTTATATTGCACAATTTTGATTAATTAATTCTTATTTTATGTTGCAAGGAAGTCAAAAAATTATATTTTAAAATCATATGATTTTCTACCGGCTCTTCACTCTTTAAATTAAGGGTGTAAGTGAGTCAATTTGATTCGATAAATGGCTCATAAGCTAACTGGCGAAGCTTGAGCTAGCTCTGACTCCATGCATTAGTTCGGGAGCCCACTCATTTAAAAAAATTAATATAAAATATAATTCAGAAGATGAAGTGCAAAAGTATTAAAAATATTTAGAATTATATTTTACTTGATTATATTAAACAATTCTTTATTACTTTTCTTCTAATTTCTTTTTTTAATAATTTTACTATAATAATTGCTTAAATCATAATCATTTTCTCTAGGTCCAAATAAACAATCTAAGTCAAACTCGTAGAATAAAATTCGAACTCTAGCTTGAACTGGATTAATTAATCAAACTCATGCTCAAACCAAAAGTAACTCGAGCTTGGCTCAAGCCTTTTACACCCCCACTTAAAACTTTAATCAAAATGATTTTAAGTTTTTCTTCTGTCTCGTAATTTTATTTATTAATTTTTATGATGATAGATATGTGAAGATTTTTTTTTTAGACTTTTAAGTCAATTAAATCAAATTCATACATACAACAAATACGTAAGATTCGAACTCAAAACCTCTTAGTTGATAGTCAAAATTCCTAACCAACAAATAGATCAAGATGAGCTGAGTTTGTTAGAAAACAGAATAAGAACTAAAGAGAAAACTATGTAGAAGAGAAGCTAGCTACTTAAAGCTTTTCCATTCATTTCTCCTTACATTAAGGATGATTACATATAGGGAGATGAGAAGAGACAACAGATAATGGTCTATTTTAAAATAATATTAATGAATTATTAGCACTTTGATTAAGCTCTAAGCTTATTAATATTATAGTGATTAATTACAAGATAAAGTTTTATATATATAGTTGTCTTTTTCGTAATTAGTGATAGATCATCAAAAGTTCATTTAAATTAAGGCTTTATTTGTGATGACTTTCTTACTGTTTCTTAAAGCAGCTTTGTAGTAAAAAAATAATATTTTTTATTAGAAAGTTGTTTTAAGAAGCAATAAAAAAGTTGTTTCAAACGAAGTCTAAATGTGAAGTTATAGATGGATTTGATAAAATATTATAATAATTAAAAAAAATTACTAAGAATGGTCGATGAACTATAGAAAAAGAGGGGAAAAAAGAAAAAAAAAATAAGATGAAGAAGAAGACTTACCAAGATGGCGTTTTATGTGCTTCAACATTATAGACAACATACATATCATAATGTGAGAGAGAGTCTAAGAATTTTGATAACTAATATATAATATAGGAAGCTAGGTTCACATCATCCCATAGAGTAAACTTGGAGGATGGAGTAGGGAGTAAGGAGCGGAGGCCCTTGAAGAGGATGCCGCATCTTCTTTTTTACATGAGTTCCATCTCAATCATTGTTTGTTCTCATTATTATATAAGTTTTGTTATGCTTTTTTGAAGAGGGATGGTAACCTATCTACTATTGGATTATTGTGGGTTAACATATTTTGATTGGTTCATAGGCGGATAATGATATGTTGGGGAATTGATTCGGGTGGTAAAATCAATTTGTTCATAAAATTAAGAGGTCAGCCGACTAGATTAGTACTAGAATGGACATGTTTTGACTAGTTTGCTGGGGAGTGACGATATGTTGGTGGCTTGATAGAGCCAATCAGACTAACTCACTCAAGTAATTAAGAAAAAATTAGCAACAATGAGTTAGCTAGAGGGTTGATCAGAAGTTAAGGGTGATGATAAGAGTTGAGAAGTGATCATTTATTGACAAATAATAATCTTTGTGAGATGGAAACTAGGTTCATGATATATGGCCCAAATTAGAGAATGGTAGGGGTAGGGGGTAGGGTAGGGAGAGAGAGAGAAGGGGTGAACCAAACATTACACTTTTTTCTTTCTTTTAAACACTATAAATGTATAAATTTAAAATGATAATAACACTCAATTTCAAGCCCTCTCTTCTTCAATAATCTTTTTTCATGCATCATAAGAAAAGAGAAGAAAATTTACTCATCTGATGCATGAGAAGCAAAGCTTGAGGTAAGAATAAAATTTTCGATCCATTTCTAAAAGATTGAAGATAAGCATTTATGTTCACTTTGAATTGTGAAGATCATAATCATAAGTGTAGCAATATACATCTCATGCAAAAAAAATATACAATATAATTATGACTAGCCAACATGCTTAAGATCAGATATAACATTATATAACATAAAGCATTAGCATATAAGCTAGACCTAATTTTTTGGGTTTAAATGATAACTTTAAATATATGCATTTAAAGAGCTAGTATACTTTAACATTGTATGAATGTCATAATACACATTATTCTTATTTTTTTCTCAATATTCCATTTCATATGATTAATATAGCTCATACATGAATATAATATCCTTATATTCATATCATATTTCGAGGTATGGATGCTCCATAAATTTAACATTCATTATATATCATATAATTTTTATAATGAATCCATCCTTTGTACATTTAGAGTTAAATTTGGACATAAATTTTTTGGTCCTACAAAAATCAATTAGTATAAGATTATTTGTCAAAGCACATAAAAATCTATTTTAATTTTTTATCAATTTATTGGCATCAAATACGAAATTAACATCCTAATAATCTCCAAGGTTATTTTCCACCTCTCTATTCCTTTCACACCAACACCATGAACCTAACTCACCTACAATAACATTAACATATATAACATCATTTTCACTAGAAAGTTGTTACATAGACCCATTACTAGTACTAGATCACAAGGGATGTGACAAATCTTTAAAAGTATTATTATAGTTTCATTTTCTTTTATCCTAGCCTTTCATTTGCATTTAGTTGAAGTCAATGGTGGTATAAAATCAATAAAAAGGCCAACATGTATGCTAACTTTTTAGTCTAAGTTGAAGTCAAATTATTCCACATCACCTTACCACCCAATTTGTCAGTTCATTAAAGTCTAAGACTTCATTTAGGACAGCTTTTTTACTGCTTTGTAAAGTTGCTATAGAGAAAGTAACATTTTAAAGTTATTGTAGAAAGCAGCAATTACAATTTTTTTCAAAGCAATACAAAGGCAGTGACCAAATAAAAATTGGGGTTGCAATTTGAAATGCAAATTAATAAGAAAGCTATCCTAAATGAAGCCAAAATCAAAATAACTATTCACAAAGCTTGGAACATGACATTTCTTCTTCCAAGAGTGGCAATCAATAGGTCAAACACTCTTTGACTTTCTATGAAGAAATAAATAATGAAGCATTAAGCTAGTTCTAACATGTTTGACCACCCCTTTAATTCCTTGTGATATTTTAACTTCTCTTATAATTCTTATAAATATCAAGAATACTGAAATGTAAAAATCCTTTGTTCAATTGAAGTAGGAATTTTGGAGAAGCATTATTCTTCCTTGTAACAGCTTAGTGTTATTTCCTTGATTTTTTAGTTTGGTGGTCAAGATCAATCATTTTTTTGTGAGAAAAATTTTAAGCTTATTATTATATTTTTTTTTTGTGTTTTTTTATTTTATTTTATTGGCATCCCTAAAACCCCTCAAGTGTTTTAGAAATTCTCACTAAATTTTTAAGTTTTGTTCATCATTTTCTCTAACATTAATGAGCATTATAAAAAACTACTACCCAAAAAATCTTTGCAACATCTCATCAACATCTTGAACTATTCATAAATAGCATCATTCCATCATTTATACTTTCAAAATCATCTCCTAAGCTCCACATAATTAACCACCAAAATTAGCCTACACCCGAATGAACCTCTTCATCGCCCTTTGATCTTCACCATATAGGCCCGCAATGCCTACCACTACATCATCCTAGGATGTAAAGGGAGGAGAAGGATGAGTACATATGTGATTTGATGAATTAGAGACTCACTGGTGATCATCATCTTCCTCTAACTTTAAATCTAGGAATGTTTGGATTAGAAAAGAAATTATTATGTGTGATCATCAGACCGTCTAGAGTCCAATTAAAACATGCCACATCACCTGATACACAACAGTGCAGTAATGGTACATAGAAAATTGGTGACGTGATGCATCATGATCGACTTTGAACGGCGCCCGATGACCGCACATAATAATTTTGCGGGTTAAAGAGATGTCATTAGGGGATTCTCCTATCCAAATTGAGGCTTGGAGGGGGTTAAAATTAATATCAAATAAAAAAATATTTATTATTTTTTAAAAGAATATCTTCCCTTGAAACTATCTCGCACAGTTCACACCCGATACTCTAAGAAGTTGCAATAACTAAAAACACTGGGACTCATCTAAACACTCTTGCCCACCTTCTTGGAAATCTCTGGCAGCAAGCCCCAACCCAGCTCCGTCATCTCCCTCTCCTTCCCCTCTCCCCGTCAAACAAACGCAAACCCGCAAAGAAACCAGACGTAAGCTTTGACCCATAGAAATCATTAAAAAACATTCTTTTACGCATTTCTATATTCCTTTCTGATCCAATAAAGGAGCATCTTTCCCAATCCCTAGAAAACTAGATTTCTTTCTCGTTTCTTCTCGTTTCTTCTCAATGGGAGGTATAATGTCATGCTTCCATGAGACGGACTCACCGAAGGGGCTGGCGGCAAGGCGAAAAAAGCGCGGCGCTCAGCAAGATGCCACCGTTACGGCGGTGCTCGGATCGAGCAAGAGATGGGAGAAAGGGAGATCGGTGAGGGCCGCGGAGGAGTCTCTGATTCAGGAGGCTGCTGCTCTGCTGCTTTTGCAGCAGCAGCCGAACGGAGGAACGTCTATTTCTTTCGATAGGTCCACATCGCTGAGATACCCAGGTATGGGAGTGAAGAAGCAACAGGGGTTGCCAAGGAGCTCGAGCTCCAGGGCGAGGTCGCTCACTGACCCTGTTGTTGCGCCGCAGCAGCTTGTGAATCAGGTGAGTTATTGTAAAAAGGCTTGCTTTTTGGTTGTGAGTTTGATTTTTGATGGATAGTTGGGTGAATGATTTGGTTAAGATGCGTTTTTTTGTTTTCATGGATTTCGTTTCTTTTTATTGTTTGATCTTTCGGTATTTGCATTGCCACTTTGATTTTATTGGATTCGGTATCAGTCATCTAAAGTGGAATTAATGAACATCCGGGATTGTGGTTTTGTAATTACCACCTCGATTAAAGAAAATCCAAAACCAGAAGTTGGGGACTTGAGTTTATTAAGTTGATGAACAGCCTGTATAAGAAGGAAAAGGGCATCCTGTTCTTTTTTTTTTTCCTCAATTCTTTCAATTTCCTTGATGATTAAAATTTTAAAAAAGGGGGGTTGCATCATACTAGGACAGTCCAAGCTGCGCTAGATCTTAACTTGTTACATAAATAGTTTTGGAATGATGAGTTTTTTTTTTTATGGATTTGATTATCTTTTATGAATTTGATTTGTCATTTTTTTGTTTGACTTACTCAACTTTGATAGTACTATCTATTGGTTTTTTTTTACTTCCCTCAAGTACCTATCTGATATGGTTTGATTGGGCTTTTGTTGCATTGCCCTTTCCGAATACTAGTTGGAATGGTTCTTACCAGATTTGTCATATTTGCTATGCCTTACCTATTCCTAAAGAATCTGCCATTTTTGTGCTTGCAGAGCCCTTTTTGCTTATGGAATATTAGATATAGCTCATACCCCCACCGTTGCTTAGCTTTGTTGGTGGGCGAGTATGGTTGGGAACCCTCCAACCCGTGCTCGATTCCCCTCGAGTGGCAGCGCCTCTTAAGTGGGGCTCAATTAAGTGTGGGCTAGGAGGTTTTGGGGTGGGTACCTCTTCTAGGTCAGCTGATGATTAGTCATGCCGTCAAGCGCCCTTTTGGGGGTGGCTACGGGTGAATACCCATTCCAATATATATATATATATATATATCTCCCATACCCAAATGATAATTGCTTTGAATTTCTCTATTTAAGTTTGCACAAATAATAACATGACTCTTTCAAGGTAATAATTTTTACTTTAAAAGAGGATGATTTTGACAACATTGTATGTGTGTGTGTGTTTTTTTCCTGCCAATAAGTGGCAGCTAATGTGGAATTCTCTTAGCCTTCCAAAGATATTTGAAGGGTTTAAATACTCTCAAATGAAAATGACTTCCATTACCGATGCTGTATGAGTATCAAGAATCATCTACACATACAAATATTCAGGAATTATAGTCTTTTCTCTATGGTTTCTCTTTACTTTAGGCATTCCCATATAGGAGAGTTGTGAGGTTCTGATAATATTATTTTGCCCATGATATTAGAGATTGGAAAAGTAACGACCCATTATATACAGTTTTGTGTTTTTCACTTATCAATCACTTTTGATGGAAAATCAAAAAATATGTAAGCTTGTGGGTTTAATTATTTTGGATTTAAATATACAAAATAATATAGATATAGATGGGGATATAGCTTTTAGAATCAAAATGGGTGATTGAAGTGGATTGTCATAGGGACTACATATGATAAGATATATCATGGATGTTGTTAAGATGGATGCTTGATAGGTGTGAATGATAACTATTGAAGAAAATATAATGGGAAATAAGCTTAGGATATTTAAAGGGGATATGAGATGTATTAATATGATTGATACTTGTTATAAATGATTACTGTTAAATATTTACTATTAGGGAGTATGGACCAAAGAATGACTAAATTGGTCATTATATTACATGTGGTCAATTGGTTTACTATGCAAGAACTCAAGTCTATAGGGAGAGCCAATTACTTAGAATTTTTATACTAATATATTTTTCGCCCGTCCAACCTTGCATTAACCTAATGCCATGTAAGTCACCCACTTTTAAACTTTTCTCAACCATGTTAAAAGACGCTAAAGACCTATGGGATCCACAAAATGCATGAATCACTCAATACCAACCAAACATTTTGATTTTGATACCACTTGTTATTATGAACTAAATGAGAACTAAAGTTGGGCTCAATATACCAGTGTTTAAGCTTATTTTCAACCCAAAAGTTTAATAATATGGGAGAGGGCTAATCTCTTTGTATTTGTATATCAACATGTTTTTCATGTATTTGTGTGGGACTAAACCCAATGCTCTCACACATCTTAACATTTAGGAATCTAAAGGGATAGCAAAAAGGTAAAATAGCTATTAGTTTTGCAGAAAGACTCAAACAGTTAATTATTCATCCATCACTAAAAAGAAAAAAAAGGGTGAATCATAAAACCAACACAACTTATTTATAACAAGGCTACTTATGGCTTAATGTTTCACTTGTTTATATTAATCCTCTTATGAAGTAGATGATATATCCAAATTAAGAGTACCTTTGTTTGTAATTATATTCTTCACACTGAGGAGATTTATGAACGCTGAGGAGATTGGCTTCTGCACATTTGATGAATTTCAAAATTTTTTAGAAATATTTTCTGTTTTTCTAGGTTTAAATATGATTTTCTCAGTTTTGTATAATCTTTTCTCTCCTTAAGTTGCTCTTTAGTAATTTCTCTTCCTTTAGTTGCATCAACTTTAAATCTTCTGGTTCTTACATGATTCTGTCCAAATTATTCCCGTACAGGAAACAAAAATAGACGATTTAGAAACCAACCATTTTGTGCTGGTTCATGGAGGTGGTTTTGGGGCTTGGTGTTGGTACAAAACTATAGCACTACTACAAGATGCAGGATTCAAAGTCAATGCAATAGACCTTACTGGTTCTGGAATTAATTCTTTTGACACAAACAACATTACAAGTCTTTCCCAATATGTAAAACCACTAACGAATTTGCTTGAAAAACTTGGTGATACAGACAAGGTTTGATTTCTTTCTTCTTCATTAAGCTTGATTATCTTGCACATTTAGTACTTGCAATTTTATGTGACTGGTTTTAATGTCTTGATTTTGTTTTATTATTAAGATGGCTATTCATGTTGTGTCAGTGATTGTTTTATTCACAATTTGGTCATTATTTTTTGCTCCAAGTTTGTTAAGATTTTAAGTGTCTGTGTCTGCAAAAAATATATAGATTTTTCATGAATTCCCCACTCCCAAATATATAATTTCTTGTTAGTATTATGAGTGTCTAGATTCAACCTTATGTGACAACCTAACTCAACATGAAAATTTTTTGTTCGGGTCAAAAATCAAGATACACAAAAATTTTTAGGTTTATTTTAGGTCAAGTTCACGACAGAAAAAAAAAACCTAGCTTAAATCATGTAATGAAGAGAATTTGTCAAAACAACTCAATGTTTTTTATTTTGGTTGGCATGTACAAGTTAGGGAAGTATATCTATTCGTTGTCGTCTAGGCACTAACTTGTTACAACTTGATTGCTTCTCGTGTTGAATTGGGCATGCTTGGAGTTTATCATGTTAAGTTTGTGTAAGTTTTCAACCTATTTAGTAAATAAATCCAGCATGGATTCTCTTCAGTTGGGTCCTGTCATTTTTGGGTTGATAAAGTTGACCTCTTACCCCAAATTAACACCTTAAGCATTATTCTACTTTTTTTTACCAATAAGTTGGGGCTTTCGATGGGGCAGCTCTTATTAATAAAAATATATCTGGTTATACAAAAACATCTACCTAGAATGAATACGATGAATACATAAATAATAACAAATGGCCCAAGCATAGTTAGAAGACACTAAGATATATGCGGTTTGACCAAATAATAACCTTCATTCATGGGAGAGGAGGGAAGAATTGATATACTATCAAGAAACCACATGTGTATAGATCTTTGGAGATATGAAAGAATCTGATATGTCAGGGGGGCCATCTTGTGGGGCTCAGGGGAGATGATTCATTATGTTAGGAGGAATTAAGGGGAGTTGTTAGGAAGATTTCTTAATTGTGCTTATACTATTTGAGAAGAGTTTAATTGTTTAAGAAGATTTCCTAATTGTGTTTATGCTGTTTGGGAAGAGTTTGATTGTTTAAGGTTTCTTAATTGTGTTTATGTTGTTTGGAAATGGTTTTATTGTTTAGGAATGTTTCCTAATTTTGTTTATGCTTTTTTTGGAAAGGTTTTAATTATTTAGCAATATTTTCTAATTGTGTTTATGTTGGTTAAGAAGGTTTTAATTGTGTGTTAGGGCAATTTTAGGAGTTGTCTAGGGTTTTGGGATTATGTATGCTATTAGTGTTTTGCTATAGTTTTTTCTAGAGTTATTCCTAGCGGCGCCTAGGGTTTTGGGGAGAGCCAATCTACCTTTAGAATAGTAGATCAACTTGTATCTTGGTTTATTGTGCTGAAATAAACATCTTTGTTACTGATTTCTGCTGTGTTTTATCTTTGTTATTGTTGTTTTTATTGTGTGGAGGTTAGATTCCTAATAAAATGGTATCATAGCACTTTTTTTGGACCTATGGTGGCTAAGAAAGTGGATGCTTTGGAAGAGAAACTAGAAGAAGAATTTGGCCAATTCAAATATGAAGATGAGGAATAGTTTTCATCCATGGAAGGAAGGTTTTTTAACCTAAAGGGCATACAACAACAACAACATCAAGCCTTTATCCCACTACGTGGGGTCGGGTGCATGAATAATTTTTTCTCAATTTTGTCCGTTTAAGAGTCAAATTCTCATTTAGATTTAATAATGAAAGGTCATTTCTAAAGAAGCTAGTCCATAAAACATTGTAGCTTCACAACCAACTAGCAACATCGGAGGCGAGAGCACCGATTGATTAATAGCCATATAAAAACTTTACATAGTTAATCACATAGCTAGTCAAAGGGTTCATAGTTCCATTCATCACACCAATTTTTGTTGCATTGTCTTCCACTGCTTCCTTAAAATCTCTAAAAGTTTCTTGAGCGGCCTGGTCTTAGTGCCTTGAAAGATTATGAGCAGCATCCCTCATCTCGTAACAAGTTTTCCCTTCAAATAGCATTTCAGTTGTAGAATGAAGCTCACGTGTTATTTCATGCATGTCTAGAAGCACAAACAACATAGCCATTAGCCAAAACCAACTTTTTTGCTCATCTCATTTGTTGACCTCTGGATTAAGCTTAAAAAAAAAAGAGAAAAAAAAAGCAGAATACCTGTGCTGAAATCCCGCCGAGGTTCTGCCAAAAATCCTGTAGCAGTCTGCGAATAGCGCCGCCCTTGTCAAGTCCTCCGCAATCCCTGCCGAAATCCAGCTCTCGATCGTCGCCCCATTCTAGTCTTTAAATACCGAGCAAACGAAGTCACTCGGCGCTGGCTCTCCCTCTCCCTGTTTCGCTCTTCCTCCACGACCGAGACCCACGATCTCCACTTGAATCCCGATCTCCAACCCGACGCCTCACTGAAGCTGATCGAGCCTCTCGTTTCCTCTGCCCGAATTCCACCTCTGCTCCCTTCAATCCCCAGCCCCGTCGAGCACTTGCCGGCGCCGACGTCCCACGCAAGCAGAGAGAGAGAGAGAGAGAGAGACAGAGAGAGAGAGATAGAAGGATCTCTACCTCAACAAGCCGAATCCCACCACCTATATCTCGTCGCCTGTAGGGGCTCAAACCGACATCTCCCTCCCTGTCGGATTGGACCATATGCCATTTTGATCGGAAGAAGCAACAGTGGGAGCACACTATTGTGAAGGTAGTTTGCTCCCTTTCAAGCGCTTCTTCGGCTTGACCCCGTGAAACCGAAAGGGGGAGAGGGAGATGTTATTTTTTTTATATATATATTTATTATAATTATTATTTAATGTAATTAAGTATAATTAAATTAGGTTTAATTATAATTAATTATGTTAATTATTAATTAATTATGATTAATAATAATTAATTATAATTGATTAAAGTGAAACCGAAAGGGGGAGAGGGAGATGTTATTTTTTTTATATATATATTTATTATAATTATTATTTAATGTAATTAAGTATAATTAAATTAGGTTTAATTATAATTAATTATGTTAATTATTAATTAATTATGATTAATAATAATTAATTATAATTGATTAAATTAATTATAATTTAATTATTATTTTTAGTTATAATTAATTAATAATGATTTTAATTAAGTATAATTAATTAAATTTAATTATAATTAATTACTTTAATTTTAATTAATGCCAAATATTCCACAGAGTCCATAGCTCCAACCTAAATAATACCCATTCAGATCCAAAATTCCAAAAAAAATCATTCAAAGTCACCAAAAATATTAAAAATTGAAATTAAATCCTAAAAAAAAGACTTAAAGCAGAATCCATCCACCCTCCGCAACCGCAACATTTGTGGGCGGACAAAATTTTAAAGTTTACTTTCAGCTCACAAAGAGCAAAATGCCTAGTCGAAATTATTCACGTATGATCTATTCTCAAACCAATCTTCTGCCAGTAAGACGTGGTAGCATATACGATGTCCCTAGTCTCTAACCTGGGGCAGTTTCGCCGCCACATGGCACTGCAGGGTACAAACGTTCATTGACCCAGCAGCCCTTTTGAACGAGTTAGGTTTTTGCCGCCACCATAATCACCACATATAACGAGTCTATGGCCAGAGCCAATACGCCTCCTTCTTAGTGGCGTTAAAATCCTTGAGATATGAATAATTAGGATATGTTGATAGGGCACACAGCCCCCTTGTTAGCTTAAAGTGGATTCAAATTTATCCCCTACATAAATTAACCACCCCAGGTCGAAACTCACCCTTTGGACGAAGCAACCCATGGCTGCGACAAGGGATCTTTCTGTCAGGTGGGCCCGACTAACTCCTCTGACTTAAGTAGACCAGGGACATAATGGCCCTGGACGACGGAACCATGGGATCTTGATCGGGGTCTTATCATCCTTCCACGCCCACATCCGCTCTTAAGTGTGAGATGAATGCATTAAGTTTTAAAAT